TATAATTTGTATCATACGTGTACGACTGCAACGGTTTCCGCTGTTCCAAAGTAAGGTTGATTTCTTTTCATGGCAGTATCCTTTCCAAATTATTTTTTTCTTATACGGGTGATGAAGTTTTCAGCCGTCTAAAGTTACAATTTAAAGGCCATTACCAAAAAGCAAGGTTACATGCTTTATGCAAAATACCGCAAAATCACGTTCGCGAAAATAGGTTTCCTCTGAAAAGAGTTTCTTGTACCAATCAATACTTTTTTTCTTTTGACTTAGAAGGGTATAGACTATTGTAAAATGGAATTATTTAACAAATAAACCGCCGCACTTTCAAGAAAATGGGCTTAGAAAATCGCCGAAATTCGCTGTCCTGTTGCAGTCACGCAACATACCCGGATTAAAACCCTTGGGCAAAATTACCGTTACACTAAAAACTTGATTTTATGCATCCAAAACGTTTATTTTAAGGTACTTTAGCTTCAGAAAAAAATCTGTGCACTAATTCCTTAAGGAAAAATTGTTTTAGACCCGAGAAATTGCCATTGTTTTTGGTGGTTTTTAGGGCTTCCCTTGGCCAAAAACAAGGGGGGTGGTCAATCTCGAGAGTGAAAAGCCGGGAAATCTTGTTAATGTCACCAAAGTTAATCTTATCAGCTTGGTTCTTAATGCTGAAAAAATAAAGGAAATCGGCTGACCCCAATCTTTTGGCACCGCCCGGTTTTCTCTGACAATGACTCTTAACGTCGTACTCTCGCACTGACTTGAAAGACCTGGTAAGCTTAATTTTCACCAGTCTTTTAATGCTGTCGGCCGGGAAACATTCCGACACCATAAAACTTAAGCATGGATAAGTTCATACTGAGAAGATTTGTTATCTTATTGTTTAAGACGCTTTTCCCCGATCAAATTTAAATCTGGACCCAGAAATGTCAGTATCGGTTTGAAATAAAAGGATTGATCTTTGATTGCAAGTTAAGTATTCTATTTTATGCATGAATAATGTTGTTTTGTTGTGCTTTTTATTTATAAATCCAGGCTTCTGTCTTCAGTTTTGCCAGTCGATCCCGTGACACACATTGTGACAAACATGTCTTTTTTGTTATAATCTGCATTTATTGCCAGGCTTGAAAGCTGTAACTTCAAGCTCCCTAAGATATATTTGGCGACTATATGTGATTCTCAAGATATGATGCTGAAGCGAAAATCAAAATCAGTCTCGCTGGGCATGCCAATTTCTTGCCTGTCATGCCGGGCATGCCAAACCAAGTGGCTTCACCATCGGCATGCCCGGCATGCCAAACCAGAGGAGCAAAAACTGGGAATGAATTATCAACCCGGCGAGAGATCTGGGACCTAAAGTTGGCTGGGTCAATTTTGGGCTGCGAGGGCATGAACCCATTTTTTCCATGCCTATGAGATGTTATTTCTAAGTACCAATGTTCCCTTGAATTTTGTCATGCCTAAATATATAGAATTTTCCCTCTCTCATTAATCCTCAGACTGGATGCGATTTTTACACTCGCTAGGCATGTTCAAATGAAAATCATGCCCATACCCTTATTCAAAACAAAATGCTATCAAATTTTAGTTTCCAAGCCGTTGCTAGGCAACGCTTTGTTAATCGCGATCGTGTGCAAAAACGCTAATCAAAGAATGAGGACTCCAAGTAATTACTTCATCTTTAACATGGCCTGTGCTGATGTTTTCCTCACTGAGTCTCTTGAAACGCGGTAAGTCGTGTTAAGCTTCAAAGCGAAGTGAAAAAACTCCTCGGTGCCTCGTGAAGGAAAAAATCTTAATTATTGGTTAATTTTATATGTGGAAGCTTCGAAATGCCTGGCCCTTCCATCGAATCTGTGAACAGTACAAGCACCTCAAATGTGCCCGGAGATTGGTCACAAGAAGGCGACTTTGTAAATGGGATAAAAATAACTGCTTTCGTTTTTCTCGCGTTGTCGTCTATGGTGGACAACGCTTTGTTAATTGCGGTCTTTAATATGGCCTTTGCTAATGTTTTGCTCACTGTATACGCCTTTCCAGTCAGCAGTGTCAACCCCGGTACTGCATATAGCCACCAGTGGCTTATCACGGGCGAACTGCTTTGCCTTTTTATCACAGTTTATTGGTCAAATGGCAGTCTTAGTGTCCACTGCATGGAAGTTTGCTTGTGATTGCCTTTGATCGTTTTTTTCCTGGTCTTTTATCCACTCAAGAGAATAGTAACTCTTCGTATAGCCCGGTTTCCGATCGAGTGTGTTCACAGTGCCGTTATTCAAAATGACCACTTAAGTCGAATTCAAGCCGGACTTCCATGTTTGTACCTTCAATTTTGGAATCATTGGCTTAACATTTATATATTATTCTGCTTCTCTGAAGCATTATTACTGCCTATTATTGCTATTTAGGCACATTCCAGTCCATAAAATTGATTGCTACTAGTCTTGGAAGACAGCTGTGTGAGCCAACACAAGCCATGTCTTTTACTCAACAGTAACTGCAGGGTGCGACTCCATGAGCTACTTCTGTGGAATTTGAAACCAGGAAACCTTAGGACGGATATCTTTGACGGTTATTTATTCTTTTCCAATTTTGACAATTGACGTTTAACGAAGTGGAAATCAAAGAATGTATTAGCCATTTCTAAGTAAATATTAACATAAAACATGCGAATCGGCTTCTTTTTCACTTTACAAACCTGTTTCGTTCTCACGAAATTGAAGATTTTTTTAATGTGAAAAAGGCTAATTGGAAATTAATGACTTTCTTTAACTTCTGTGTAAATTAACTGATTAACTATTGCGTTTTGGAGGTTATCTTATGTCCGGTTCAGACGCCGAACTTTTCATGAGCCGAACCTAATACATTGAATTAAGTACATGAAAAGTTCGGCGTCTGAATCAGTTAGGAAAGCCTGTTCAATTTGGAGCTGCTCAGCCGTTCTTCCCGCCTAGTCCGGACGGGAATTTCGGCTTTGGGGCGACTTTGGAACGGAACTTTTCATGTACCGAACCCTTATAACCAATTTTACAAGCAAATTGAACGAAATGAGGATTTTCTCTATTTGAATTTTGTTCGGCTGGAAATAAGATCGGCATCTGAATCAATTTCCTTTGGCCTTTCACTGTATACTTAATAATTTCAGATATAAGCAAGTTGTAAGGAATAGAAATGTCTAGAAGAATTTTGTTTGAAATTACACGGTGACTAGTTTTTTCCCAGTTTAGAGTTTCGTTCAGGAGCCAGAAGTCCATGAAGAACAGCTGAAATAGTGAGATTTGAAAAACAGAAGAACCCCTTAGCTCAAACGGGAAACGCAAACCAGTTTGAGTTAGCGGGGGTTCGAGTTATCGGGATCGATTTTATATACAATTTTCATGTTAATAATTGATAGTCACTAGTTTCTCAGCACCTCAGTGTATAAGACAATACAAATTTAACTTATTTCATTATAAATGGTATAATGATAATACTTTTTTATGATAAAACATGATCTGTTCTTTACACCATTTAAAACAGAATTGCTGTAGTGTTATTTTTTACTGTTTTACTGATTATTATATACAACAAGAAGATCAAAACTGTTTCGCTGGTACGTGCGAAAGTTCGTGACATTCCATACACACGTGCTCGTTGAAGCCCTTACTATTTAGTATTAATTCATAAATCGTACCTTTCAGTAAAGAGAAATTGTGGTTAATTCAAAGACATGAGTTGTAGCTTGCAAGAGTAGATTCGCCGTGGAAAAGAGTGGAGAGTGGATTACAATTAAGAGTGGATTTGAGAGGACTCAATGGATCGAACATTCGTTGCCGCGGGACACATCATACCGGGTACCTATCGAGGAACATTGATCTGACGTTCGTTGTATTATATTTTATTTATGCTTTCTCGTAGTGATATTTGTACTTTAGTTCTACTTTAGGTTTCGAAGGCGTTGTAATGCTTCTTTGAGCACAGTACTGAACGTAGTGGATTTCAGCTAGCGAAACATTCGAAACCCGAAGCGTGACATTGGTGATGGCTGATCAAGACGCCAAAAACCAGAGACGAGCGGCGAAAGGACGATTTACAAGAAAACTCGCTGAGTTAACGAGGTCAATCGAGGAGGACAAAGGATCAGAAATAGTGAGAGTGAACTTCGAGGAGCTGAACGAGGCATAGAGAAATGTGAAAGCCAAGCATGATATGTACACAACATTTTTAAAGGATAGCGACAAAGATGTAGTTCCTGCTCTCAGGAAAGTTGAGGAAGCGTTAGAAGCTTCGTTAGCTGGTTGCAAAGTGGCGAATGACAAATATTTGGAATATTTGAGCAGAGAAGCGGCCTCGAAGGAGGTGGGATGGATTTTGGTCGTGCAGAAACGATACAATCAATTGAATCAGTCATTGCCAATCAGACAAAGGTAGAAACGGGCGTCCACAATCTCGAAGTGAAAACTACTAACCTTCGCCTTGAAAAAATGAAGATGCCCCGGTCTAGCGGAGAGCTGAGAGAGTACCCGAGATTTAGAAAAGACTTTAAAGTTCAAGTTATGCCAAGTTTAAACAACAGCACTGCGCCTTACACTTTGCGTTCCTGCCCCTGCGAGGGGCCACTGGCGGTCGTGAGGGGGGTCGACGATGACATCGATGAAATGTGGCGACGCTTGGACGAGAAGTATGGTCATCCAGCCAAGATAACAGATGTGATTATTATTATAATATCATGGGTGACAAATTACTCCTTAATTTTGGCGCGAAATTTCAGCGTTAATTTATAATTTCACATGTGAAATTACAAAATTGCCATGGCAACCGTTCCGACGCAGCCAAAATGGCGTCCAGGTTTGAAGATGTTACAGATTCTGATGTGACGGCATTAAAAGACGCTGCCGAAAACTTGAACACCCGTAAAAGCACAGTTAACTGGTTGAGAGTTTTTGAGAACTGGTGTGATGAAAATGCCCTCGACAAAAGCGCTGAGAAGCTTCCTCCTGAACAGCTGGATAAAGTTCTTGAGCGGTTTTATGCCTCTGTCCGTAAACAAGACGGAACCGACTACGAACCTGGCTCCTTCAAAAGTAATGCAAGCAGCACTTGACCGTCACCTGAAGGAGAAAGGGTACTCTTTGTCAATTATAAAGGACAGAGAATTTTTGAGTTCTCGAGAAGTGCTAGAGGGAAAGGCGCGTAAGCTGCGAAACGAAGGTAAAGAAAAATTGCCAAATAAGTCACGAAGCCTAACAAGAGAGGAAGAAGAAGTGCTGTGGGAATGCGGACAGCTTGGAAATTCATCTCCAAGGTCCCTCCTTTACACAATATGGTGGCTCCTGTCACAGTATCTTGGTTTACGTGGCTGCCAAGAACACTACACAATGAATGTGGAGGGTTTCACTCTTAATAAAAACGACAACGGCAACGAGTTCATAACATTCGCAGAAGGCCCCACAAAAACACGGCAAGGAGGATTACGACTTCAACCAAGGTCTGTACTACCTAAAATGTTCGCAACTGGTGACTCACGATGCCCTGTCGCACTTTTTAAGAGTTACCTGGCCAAAAGGCCTGAAGATTTAAAGTTATCTGGCCCTTTTTACTTGTCGTGCATTGACAACCCCACCAAAACAGATGTCTGGTACAAGAAAAGCCGAATGGGTAAAAATGCTATCTGTAGAATCATGGCAACTATGAAAGAAAACTCACCCTTACAGGAGATGTGTCCAGACAAAAGATTGTCTAACCACTCGGTCCGGAAAACTGTGGTGAGGAAGCTAAAAGCCAGTGGAGTCCCAAAATCCGAAATAATCACAATAACTGGTCATCGACAAGAACAGAGCGTGGAAGCATATGACTCCGGGAACGAAGAAGAGCAGCGTCAACTATCTAAAATCATTGATGGCAAAGAACCCCAGTTCAACCAGACAACCAGCCGAGTTCCTCTTCAGCCGCTTATTCAGTCAAGTGCAGCGATTAGCAGTGGCCATGTATATAATTTCCACAATTGTAATGTGGTGATAAACCAAGGACAGGCTACGCGTCATCTTCAATGCCATCTTCTAACACCGTGCCGTAAGCTTCAATAATTTTGTCCACATTGATTTCCAGCTATTCGAGTGACTTAACGTTCTTTTGCCTATATTATAACTTGGCCTGTTTGCTGTTTGTTATCAACAGTCTGAAAACATTTTCAAACACTGACATTAACTGGCATTTGACCCGGGCGGCGTTTTCAAGTTCATTTATGAATTTTGGCCAATCATGAACAAAGAAGGGAGACGTCGGTTGATTTAACTTTGAAACATTTGATGAAAAACAAAAATGAAAAACAAGAACAGTTTAAAGGGCTTTTCCAAGTTGTCTGTACATTCTTAAAATTAAAACTTTCCGCACGGTACGCTTAATTAACCTTTTTTTAAGCTTGGAATCCTTAGACTTTTTCAATACAATAAACAATTAAAAAAATCGCTTCTTGTGCACGTAATTTGTCACCCAAAATATTAATAGGTAAAAAGGATCGGGGAACTATTAGGATTTGGACAAAACGCGCGTGAAATTATTCCCTAATTTCACTTGTCTACATTTGATTGCACATACGCATACAACGAGTAAAAGCCATCAAAGAGGGAGAAGATCATGAGAGACTCGTCGAGTTTGTCGAAATTATTCAAAGGGGTTATCGAGACTTGTTGAGGCTCGTATTGGAGAAAGAGATAACAACCACAAGCTCCGTAAGCATAATTGAGAAAAGGCTACCAGCTGATAATAGAAGAGAGTGGGCGAGGGTCGTCAGCTCAGACCCGCGTAGCGTTGATAAGAAAAACTAATTTCCAGGCCTCCACAAGTTTCTGCTCAACCAGAAAAGGGCAATCAAATATGATTTATCAGATCTGCGAGCGTCCGGAAGTCTCGGAAGTCAAGCGGGCCAACAGTCTCTTCATTGTGCTGATGCAGTGTGGCTGAAGAACTTAAAGAAAACAAGCAGCAGACTTTTGAAAGCAAGAGCAACAGTGCGTGCCTGTTTCACAATAGTGCCAGCCACGGAATCCATGAATGCCAATAATACCTATCCAAAATTCGTGGTGAGCGAATGGACATGTTTAAAGAAGGGGGTGCATGCTGGTCCTGTTTGAAGATTGGGCATGGTCTACGTGATTGAAGAAGCAGGAAAGCTCGTGGTGAGAATGGTTGCACAAGAACGCATAACAGAACATTACACGAGGAAAATAGGGAAGCCAGCGTTTCTGTAACAGCAAGTTCTTGCGGTGATCTTTTGAGCGACACATGTCTTCTTCTACTTCAAAGAGTTCGAACAGGAAAAGGCTGGCCCAACGTTATGTGGGACAATGCAGCATCATTAAGTTTCATCACCAACAGCAAGGCCAAAGCGGAAATGTTACACGGCACGAAAGTAGAAATGTCTATCGTCAAAGTTGGACGCACTAGTGAAACAATTTTGTCTAACAGGTACCTTCTCCCGCTGATCGACTCTCAGGGGCAAGTCGTACCGTGCGAAGTTTATAGTATTGATGTAATAACGGGGGACATTCAAAGTGTGAGCGTCAGTAACGTAGTTCATCTTTTTAAGGACACGTGGAGTTAAAGGATGCAAATCACGCGATGCAGAATGCCCTCGTGCACCACGTAGCCTAAGTAAAGATTGAAGACTACAATATCGAGAACCTGGGGGTGGAATTTACGCCTCGCAGTGGGGGTTGTAAATGTGGAAAATGTCCGCTTGGCGTGAAGAATTACAGTCCAGAGGAAGAGAAGGAGCTTGAGTTGATTGAGAGAAATCTGCACTTCAATAACCTTTAACATAGATGGATGACTCCGTATCCATGGATAAGAGACCCGGCTGTCTTCCTGAGAATAGAAAGGCCGCATTTGGAATGCTATTGTCTACAGAAAAGAGATCTGCCAAGAATAATGACCACGCAAGAGTATTTCAAGAGCAGATACAATATATGATAGACAGGGGCGTTTCCCGAGAGCTAACGAAGAGCGAATTAGAGGCCTATGATGGGCCCATCCATTATGTTTTGCATAATGAAGTTATACGTCCGGATTCAAAGTCCACGCCAGTACGAATAGTCTTTAACATCAGCACCAAATATATGGGTCACGTGTTAAATGAATATTGGGCCAAGGGATCGGACCTTCTGAACAGCCTTCTGGGTGTGCTGATAAGGTTTGGAGAGAATGAGGTGGCGTTAATTGGCGATATAAAGAAAATGTACCATTCCGTGGGAACCACCCAGCGCGAACAGCACACGCATCGGTTTCTATGGAGAGACATGGACGCCAGGAAAGAACCAGACACTTACGTCATACAGAGAGTCTCAGTTGGCGATAGACCGTCGGGAACCATTGCAACAGTAGCATTGAGAAAAACGGCCGAATTGGGGCAAAAAAAGTACCCTCAAGAGGCCAAAATCATTGGAGACAACACCTACATGGACGGCATCATTGAGAGTGTTGGTGACAGGAGAGAGCCGAAAGTGTAATACGGAACATAGAGAAGCAGGTCGACATAGGGTAGACTGTTCACAGTCCTCTATTTTTCCGTAAGATCGTCGGAATCGAGCGCTTTGCGTTACGGGCTGCCATCTTGCATGAGTGTCAAAACTACTTAGGGGGCGGGGGGCGGTTTGGGAGGAAGAGAGAAAAATAGAGGGACTGTAATAACACCACTGCAGCTCGCGTTCAGGAGGCGTGACAAGAATTTCAAGCCTTTTACCATTCATTGATTAAGAAACGCGTGTTTACAAATATCTCCTTTCGAAACAGTGATTTTATAATGTTTCTGGGCCATTCCTCCAAATAATATCGGCAAACATGCACAAGACAAACATTTTGCTAATCGAAGCGCTAAGCATGTTCGTTTCACTACAGATTAAAACTGTTAAACCTCCCGATAAAAAGCCAGGCATTTCTAACAGGCCGTCTTTTTTGTATCGGTGTAGCGTTAATGATTCGTTTGGCAGAAACTGCGTTACAACATTCCCCTGGCCGGGCTGCTTCAAAAGCATGTTGGCCTAAGTGATTCATCCGCAAAATACCAAAACTCCTTCGTGTGTTTGCTCAAGATGTGCTTTCATCTTCATCTTCATCTTCATCTTCATCATCTTTATTTAAAAACACGGTAAATACATCAGGCATTAACAATTTAATATAAAGCTACAACTTAAATACGAAACTATGTATACAGATTAATCTTCTATAATTTAAAATATTGCTAACTATTAAGGAAAAGTAAACTAAATTAAAGCCTGTTTTACATGAATGCCGTGTCGGAATTAATTAAGAATCGTCGGAAATTAGTCAGAGATGTTGCTTGCCTAGCAGCTGAGGGTAGACTTTTCGAGAGGAATGCACCACTATAGGCAAAGCTATTTTTGTAATGGTTAGTACGTGGCAATGGTATTTCAAGCTTATTATCAGAATCGCGCAAATTGTAAGAAGTAATCACATCACTCCGTTGAATGAATTTCGAGGACAAATAATTTGGTGCGAGGCCGTTTAAGGACTTGTAGACCATCTCAGCCTTTAGTTTTTGACGTCGAGTTTCTAAATTGTCCCAGCCTAATTCTTTAAGCAGTTGGTTGGCGTCAGCATCATAACTAGAATGGGTAAGGACGCGGACAGCACGATTTTGAAGTCTCTGTAATTTGTCAGATAATGCTTTGGCACAGTTACCCCAAACAATACTACAATAGTCGAAGTGTGATTGAACTAACTCATGATAGATATTATGTAGAGTTGCAGGAGGAACACAGCGACTTATTCGTTTAATAGATCCAATACCAAAAGAGATTTTTTTAGATATAGCGTTGATATGATTACTCCATGTTAGATTTTCATCAATTAATACACCAAGAGACTTGGTAAAATCGACTCTGTTTAATTGTGTGCCATTAATTTCTAAGTCTGGGAGAACGGATAGACTATTCAATTTTTGTCTTGAGCCGATTAACATAAATTCAGTTTTAGTCATATTTAGCAGTTTTAATTTCAGTATTAATTTTGT